TAACCATTAAATCTATATCCGTGACTTTATTGTATTTGATCAATTCAAAATGTACCTGAATTACGAATTTTGAAACTATTTACCTGATTTTTGAATTGGTGTAAATAATACACCCGATATATGAATTTTCCCTTTCTCTTATCATTTTGATATTTCCAAGAATTTTCTCAAATTATTTGGATTGACAATTGATTATAGACTCGTCCATGTGAGTTGACTAGATGCTATGAGATGTACGATTGATAGGAGAAGTTAGAATTTGAATTTAATAGCTCCATAACCTCGTGTGATCCCTAACTATATGCACATGAGAATGGAAGTTATATGTGCTAGAAATGTGAGCATAAATTTAGTGCCAAGTTGAATAGATTTGAAAACTCCTGTTTCAGCTTATTATTATCTCAAAGTTGGCTCTTGAGGCATTGGATAATATAATACTAATGCATGTTTGCTTTAGACGTTGAAATACTTCATTAAAAGTTTAAAATTTTAAGACGGTATAAAAACGGACTAATCAATTTATTTAGATTTTATATATATTCAACTTCACGCATTGGCGTATCACAATGTTGATTCACACCATTTAAGAAATTATTGTATTAGAGAGGAAATTTATTTATTTCTTTGAACTTTATTCAACATATATAGAACTTCACGGGCGTAGGTTGATGAATTCATTTTATTTATCGAAAAACTAACATGTGTAAGCATACTTCTTTTAAAGGGGTGGTGAAGCAACTCTATTTTTATGTTCTGATACCACGTTAAATGATCTTATTACAAGTTTAAATTATTTTAAAATATTTACTTGAATTTAGATTTCATAGATACCCAATGTCTCTCATCTCAAAGTATAAACAAACTATATTGAACCGCGAGATTATTCCTAGAAACATCATCTCTTGTTTTTCATTCTCTTTCCTATCTATTTGTTAAATCAAGAAAAAGACATTGCAATCATTGTCAAACAGAAACAACAATGTCAACCGACTAGAAAAAGATGTCATCATGTCTACTTGACTACTTTGTGAGTTTGCATGAAAACTCCAATGGTTTAAAACAAATGAAATGACCATATACCAGTCTAAAAATTCATTATGAATGAATATCTCATCATCGTCGCATCAAACAAATGGACATAATTTGAAGTGAAATAAAGCATCTCTTGTTTATCAAGGCATGCATATTTAGTATACAGTACTAAATAAGATTTAAGGGTACTGTAAATATGATAGTGTAAACGAAATTAATTATATATACAGACCAATTTATGTTAGAAGTGTTGAATAATTAATTTCTAGATTTCGCGAATCAAATGAAGACTTAAACGAAAAAGGCAAATATGTCTTTACAACTTGTTAAGAAAATTAAAAATTAAAAAATTTCAAATTTTCTCATCATGAAGGAGGCTGATAGATCTATCTCCTTTTGCTTCTAAATCTTTCTATATCCAAAATAAGATCATTTGTTCGGCTGTTTCCTCAAACGTTTCATCAAGTAATCATGAATTTTGTCTACAAAGCCACTCATCTTTGTCGTCGGAAGACGGCTGTGTTTGATTTTGTACTAGACACAAGAACTAACAAATTTTATCCCATATTTATCTTTAATAATTTCCACTTATATGAAGTTCAACATACCGAACATTTCCTTAACTTCCAAACAGAATTTACATTTTCATTAAGGGCTTGACAACTGAGTAATTTTCGTGTATAGGTGATGCCGAGATTTGAGTTCATAACATTTCCCCGAGTGCACTCTTGTTATTGATTTTCTTATAAAAGCAAGCCACGTCTATCTCTATCACTTTCCTTTATACACTAGAGCTCTTAAGGATAGTTTTGCAAATTTGACGTGTGTTACTTTTGAAGGCTAGTTGGCCCGAGCTTTTCACAGGCCTGGTTCTACCGGGACTAGAGTGTCTAGCCACTTTGACACTACTACATATCGTTCTAAAAATAATTACAAACTGATTCGGCAATTTCTTGTCTAAATTCTCATTATGTCTAATGTACGAGTGCACCATTTATAGAGATGTAAAATGGATTAAGTTGTCCTTTTGGTATGAACGATGTCACCAAATCGTAATGTTCAAGATGAGAACATGTTGTCAAAAGAATTAGGAAACCCTACTCCTAAAATGGCTATAGATAGGTTTCTATCTTCTTCATCTGAAATCTTATAATCTGTTACAAATCGAACAAACAAATATCTTACATACTTCAACACAATTCTGTCATACAAACTTGTATAGATACTGATGCTGTACTGAGCGCATGAGATGAGGTTCACTGAAAAATATCGTTGTAAAGGTAATTGCAAATTGAATTTGGCAATTTCTAGTCTAGACTTCCAGCATTTCCTAGTCTAGACTCCCAGCATTTCCTATCTAGAAGGTGGAATAGATCCTGCAGTGGTTCAACCAGTCTTGGATAGTCGAGTTTAGCTCTTTAGGCCAGTTCTCCGTGCCCGACTTTTCTGTTTTTGACCAAAAAAAAAAAAATAATAATAAATTTGTCTAGAACCCCAAATAATTTTTAAAAATACATGTTTGGCCAACCGGGCCGTCTTACACGCATAACCATGTTCCCGTAGGTGTAATCACACATCAACAAGCTAACAATACACACTATTGGTAAAAGCAGTATGTTACACAATGGATTTCATAGGACAGAACAGCAGCATGTGGTTGAGATACTAGAATACAAAAACAAATATAACTGAACAGACCACATGCAAATAAGCTAATCAAAAGCAGGCATGTATATATTTGTATTTTCATGATTATCAGGCATCAAACTGTCATACAATCCTTTGTTTATTTCAGTTCCAGAGCCCCTACCAGCCATTGCTCGGTCGACTCCAGTCTAATACTGCATCTCAAAGATACCTTTACTATTTCTTCTGATCATCATCTTTCTCACCAAATTTCTGGCAACTTTCTTGCAATAGATCACAATCTTGTTTTGGACCATATAAACCCCGCCTCTCCTGCTCCTCATCTTCGTCCTCATTTATGTTCATTTTCCTCGGTTTCACCCGATTCCTCTCGGCCCTCGTCTTCAATGCTTCCAACAATTCCCTCCTGGCCTTATCCTTATTGCGCCGGTTCTTGATCAAGACCTCACTAATGTCGGCCGGTGTCATTTTCGCCTCATCAATCACACCCTCCAACTCCTTCAAAACTTCTCCGTCCAACTGATCATCCTCGCATCCCAAGTAATTCTTGAAAAGAATCTTTAATGCTGAAAAAGAACAATAACTCATATGTATGTGCATGTCCATCCTCCCACTCCTCAACAATGCCGGATCAAGCTTCTCAACATGGTTCGTCGTAAATACAAAAATCCTCTCATTCCCACAACAAGACCATAATCCATCAGTAAAATTCAATAACCCCGAAAGGGTTATCGTCTTTCCACCATCCTCAGCCCGAGTAGACCCCGCTAGATAGTTAATTTTTCCAACCCCATTCTCATTTCTAATAGTAAAATTTATTGAACAATCTATATCCTCAATAACAATGATCGATTTCGAGCTGGTTTTCATCAGTAACTTCCTCAATTCGGAATTCGTATTCACCTCAGTCAATTCAAGATCATAAATATCATATCCAAGATAATTAGCCATGGCTGCAATCATGCTAGATTTTCCAGTTCCAGGAGGACCATATAATAAATACCCTCTTTTCCAAGCTCTCCCAGTTCTTTGATAGAAAGACTCTCCATTAGCAAAATCCAAAAGATCAGCCATAATTTCAGCCTTCTTCAAAGGATCCATTGCAAGTGTATTAAAAGTACCGGGATGCTTAAAGGGTACAGATTCCCAAGGCTGGCCTCGTGAATCTAATGAACCTCCATGTGAATTCGTGTAAAGCAAACGATCTTGGTGTTTTCTACGTAAATCTTTTGCCTTTTCCACGATGAAATCTATATAGGATCCTAATACTACAGTCTTGTCCTTATTCTTGGCACGTAGAATAAAACCTCGTTTCTCCTCCGGCAATGGCCTCCAAGAAAATGTTTGTGTTTGCCTTTGAGTAATAACATGTTCCCACGCGACTTTTACGCCATTGTAGGAATCTACTACGCGGTCGTTGTTGGAAAGGCTGAAAGTGATTGAGCTAGAATTCAGGCCGCGGCTGAGGCTCAGGCGGCGGGTGGCGGAATTCGCTGCTGAGCTGCTGAGATAGAGCTGCACGGCGTTGTAAAGTTCGTTGGTGTTGACGCCGTCAACTTCTGTGATGTCGTAGTAGCAGTACGATGTGAAGAAATTGAAAATTTTGTGAAAGGATTTGAGAAAGGCAAAACGGAGTTCTGGTGGGAAGATTGTGTATAGAATGGTCTGGCAGAATGCCCAAAACCCCATCATTGAAGCCATGGTTGTCCAAAACTCCTCCATTTTTCAATGTTTTTTCTTGCTCGAATGTTTTTAAGGAGAAACAAGTGTGCGTGTGTGTGTGGCTAGATATATATGTGTATATTGAGAGGAGAGATGGACTGTGTGAAGATGAGAGACGGAAAGTGCTTGATTTATAAAGGAGATTCATGGGATTATTAAAGGAAAAAGCTATCGAACAGGACATCGGCGCCCTGAACAGAGAAGGCCGACATGGCTTTACCCATCTAGCAAAACTGATTATTAAATTCTTGAATATAAGGCAAGATATGGATTATGCTAGATTTATAGAGGAGATTCATGAGGTTATTAAAATATTAAATATAAGGCAAAACTTTTAGACATATTTCTAACGAAATAGGGTAAATTTCATTTGAACTTTAATTTGTCTCGGTTGTGTTTTTGAACTTCAACTTAGTTTTAAATTTCATAACTTCTTCATATTTCGCCACTTATTATTTTCTAGACGGATGTTGCTTAGTTGACAGTTAGGTATTGAATATTTTCTTGTATAATCACTATGTAGCGCCCTAAAAATGATAATGAGAAAATGAAGATTGACAATGTCTTTATATTAAAAAGTTAAAAGCCATGACTTCTATTCTAACAATTCTACGACGCAGCAAAACAGTAAGTTCACATACCATGTAGCCATTAATCGAAATGTTGATACTACACGTATATTAGGGTGTTCATCACGGTGTCCCACTCCCACACATGGAGGTGAACCCACTTCAAATAAAATATAATTTATTTGAAATGAGTCTCCCTTTATATGAGAGGAATGAACATTGTATTATGTACAAGTAGCATATTCCTAATGAAAAATATGTTGTAATATAACTTCTGGTTAAGCAATTTTTATGGATCGAGGAGATTATGGATGACAAATTAGTGAAAATTGAAATAAAAGTGACATTTAGTGACCTAATTTGAAATAAATTGAAGTTCAATAATCCAACAAAACAAATTTAATTTAGAGATGGAATCAAGGTCATTGGAGCTTCTTTCCTTCCTGTCAATTAAGGGTGCCTAGCTTATAATGACCAGTGCAAGAGTGCCAATTGACCCAACTAGCAAATCTGTTTAGAAGCATTCAATCTTTTTCATCTCCGTGAATACCGCATTTTGTCGGCTTGATATTTAAAGTTCAATGATATCACAAGAAATTTACCTAACGAAATTAGGATACTCAATATTTCTAATACTATTTAAATTAGTATACACATAGGAGGTTTATAATTTTCATATGGGAACATGAGCAAACTGAGAGTTAGGGTAAGGGTGCCAACTCGACCGGTCCGAGTAGATCTAAAACAATAATTTTTGAGGTTCGAAAATTGGTATATTTTAAATGTGCTTTTTAGTTAAATCATGCTACGTGACATGATTTCTTATTAATGATTAAACATAATATACACTTTAAAGGTGAGCATGTTCTCCAACTACTTAAAAGTGCAAGATAGAAAAACTTATGTCATTTGAAGATGGATGAACACTGTAAAAGCCCAAAAAGTTACACTTGTAGCGATCAAGTCATACTTCTCGTAATTATACGCTAGGTGTCGTATCTTCCTGGCTTTTGGTACATTTAGAATATGTGAGGCCAATCATGTCTTGCATGCATGACCCAATAATTTTTTAATTGGTTACTTTTCTTTTTTGGAAACAACAAACTTGAAAAACTTTTGTCGAATCTAATATAGTATGCACACTAGAATTCGAGAGTTTATACTAAGCCACTAAAATGTTCACGACTTTACTCACTTTACATCTTTAAAACAAGATGAGGCAAAAGAGCCTGTCTAGACCGAAGAGGATTGGTTAGCTGGCGTGAATGAGAGAAAGACAAGCAAGAAAAAGGAAAATATCACAAAAAAAGGCTAAAATAACAAAAAAGAATATTTGGAAGGTTGTGCATGTTGTGTAGGGAGGGCTCGTAGATGGAATGGACCCTTAAAATATTCGAGCCCGCCTAAAGTAGGGCTATGGAATTGGAATTTAATTGTTTGCAATGGTATTTCTTTGTAGTACACTTTCTATCGGAAAAGAATAAATGCACTTTGTGTTTGTGAAATTAGAAATCCTCCCACCTATCCTAGGGAGCTAGCTGATCTCTTGGCATTGCCAGAGCCCATGTGGCCCTGGTAATGTAGCACGATTCATTAGAAAGAGATGATAATCAAGATCTATGGTAAATGAAAATAAGGGTGATGCTACACATATATCAAAATATCTATAATGATGTTCAATTCGAATAAAATATAATTCATCCGAAGTGACTCTCCTTCTATATAAGAGAGGTGGACACCGTTATAGATATAACATTATGTACAAGTAGTATATTTCAAATGGACAATATATCATTTAGTTTTTCAAAAGAATACATTCTCGATTAGCCTTTCAAATTTAAGACATCTCCAGTGCTGCGCCAATTTGAT